CTCAGCGGCGCGATGAGATGCTGCGCATGTACCACGCACTGAAGGAGGCGCTCAGCATTATCGGCGACATCAACACGACCACCGTCAGCACGCCCATGCCCCCGCCCGTGGACGACTCCTGGCTGCAGGTGCAGAGCGTACCGGCCGGACGCAGGTACCAGGGCCGGCCCCCACGGCCCCAAAGCCCCCCAGCCCGGGGCCCGAGGGAGGAGGGCCGGGACCGGGCAGTGGCGCGCCCGGGTCTCGGGAGCTCCCATCTGGAGCGAGGGGAGGAGCTTAGAAGAGGGCGGGGCTTGATGCGGGGCGGGGCTTGCCGTGAGCGCTGGCTGCTGGGCGGGTGGCGCCGCGGGAGGCTGGGCTTAGGCTCTCCGAAGCTAATTGCGGCCGCGGTGGGCGGGGCTTGCTGCATGGGCGGGGCCGGCCTGGGCTGAGGGCGGGATCTCTATTGGTGGCGGAGCCGCTCATCTCTGCTCCGCGCTTCTTCGGCCCTTGTCGCCCGTAGATCGCCCACGTCCAGCCCCACGCCGCAGCGCAGAGCCCCCGCCGTGCCCCCAGCCCGGCCCGGGTCGCGGGGCCCTGCTCCTGGGCCTCCGCCTGCTGGATCCGCCCTGGGGGGGGCGCCCCCCGTGCCCTCCAGGCCGGGGGCTTCCCCTGATCCCTTCGGCCCCCCTCCCCAGGTGCCCTCACGCCCCAACCGCGCCCCGCCTGGGGTCCCCAGGTGAGTAGGGGCTTAAAGCGGCGGGAGTGGCCGCCAGGAGGGCGTGACCGGGAGGGAGGTGGAGTTGGATTCTAGATCCTCGGTCTGGCAGCAGAAGCGACCCTCTCCATCCCAGGCGCTGGGGTCGTGGTGCAAGGCCAAGGGACCTGCGGCCATGGCTGGCAGTCTTGCCCCGCAGGGGCGCTGAGTCCCGGAGGTGGTTGTTTCTGGGGAGAGGGCTCTGGGGCTCAAATCACCTGCCCCCTCCTTTTCAGCACTTGCATGGCGCTTCCCTCTTTTTTCATCTTCTCTCCATTCCTCCCACACTTTGCATTTCTTAAACCCTTGCCCTCCATCCTCCTCCATTCCACCCTTCACTCACCCCTACCAGCCCCTGTGAGCCTACCTCAGGTCTAGGTCTCTGGCCCCAGATCCTCTCTTTGATCCATGTGGATTTATTCGGTTATATTCAGAGCTACCTTGACGCCCCACTTCCCAGCCCTGACTCTTTTGAGCTGTCCCAGAGTGGTATTCAGTCTCTGGGCCCGCAGAATCAGGCCAGGCTGTGATTGTGTGACCAGCAAGGTGTGTGATGTGTATGTGGGCGTGCACACGGGTGTGAATGTGAGAGTGGCACCCAGGCATGGAGTAGGATACAGAGTAGCTGGAGAAGTGGTCTGGGAATCATGGACAATCTGGTGGTCTGAAACCAGGTGGTGGGTGTGGAGTAGGGACAGGGATTGAAGGCTGTCCTCTTGCCAGAGAGCTCCCGGAAAAAGGAATATACTTCATCCCTTGGCTTTGCCTTCTTTATCCATGACCTGCTTTCCAGGAAGTTCACTCTAATCGCTTACTCAGTCTGCCCTGTTTCCATTGGCCCTGGCTAGTCTCTGAGAAACACATGATCAGACAAGACCAGTAGCATCTGTTTGGGAATCTAGATGGCTGAAGGGCAGAGCTGAGGGGTCTAGCCCCAAAATGAGGCAGGGATAGGCCTATTCTGTGGGGTTTTGATGACTGACACAGTAGGGTAAAGACAGGCAGCATGTCATGGGATTGGGAGTCCAGAGATGCTGGTTCACTCCCATGTAGAAAAGTCATCTTCCTTCCTAAATAAGAACCTCAGTTTCCCTTCTCCTAAACAAGAACCTTGCCATTTCCCCAGGGCAGTGTCAGGTTGAGGGCGATGATGGGCTGCTATATTAATGGTAAATGTGGCTGTAGGGTGGGGCAGGTTAGAGATTTGTGGAGACTCAGTGCTGTAGGGAGCCATGGAAGGGTTTTGGGCAATGACAGCTGGATCCTAGAATGCAAGCCCTATCCCTTATGGAGCAGTGTGGCAACCCTGTCAGCACACCAGGCCTGAGTGTGCAGGGAGCTGGTGCAAAGGCCTTCCTGTGCAGGCGAGCTTCTGTGTCGTGACAGCTCATGCGTGTGCTTCAGTGTGCCGAGTGGCTGCATGCCCCAGATCCGTGCTGCACGTATTGGCCGGCAGTGGCGCTGGGCACTGGGAGGAGGGAGGGGAGATGTGTGTGTGTTTGTGGGCATGTGTGTTAGTGTGTGCATGCAGGGCCTTGAGGCCTCATAGCATGTGTGTGCACGCCCAGGCGTGTGTGTGTGTGTCCCCTAACCCCAGGCCTGGCCCACCTGTGTGTTTGTGAACTGCCCTGTTGATTTCGTGCTGTCTTTCAGAATCACTATCAGTGACCCCTGAGGAGTGTCAGCTACGGTAGGTTATGCTCTCAGCCTGCTGCATGAACAGTGTGTCTGGCCCCTCCCTCCTCGCTGCACCAGCTCCATGCTGCGGACACACCTGGGACCTCTGAGCTAGGCCCCTCCTTCTCCTTCTGCAGTTCTAGACTCCCTCTTCCTGTCCTCTGCCAGCTGGCTCTCTCACTTCCCTTCCCAGTGAGCCTCGGGACTCAGCGCCACTACTCAAGGCCTTCTTGCTTAAACTGAGGGCTCTTGGGACAGGTTCCATGCACAAGTTGGTAGATGTGGGTACTCCCTGGAGCTGTCAGATGCCAGACTCATTGATGACGGTGTAGGGACTGAGAGCTCAGAGAGGGTGTTTGGCTAACCTCTGAAGGGGCTAGAACTTCATCTTCATTCCTAGTCTGAACTGTGTTGCCAAGATACAGCAGCATTCAGTTCCCAACCTGGGAGCATGGGCAACTAAATCCATCAGAGGGCAAGCATAATAATCAGACATTAGGTGAGCCAGGGCTCTGATTGATTCCAGACCACTTGAGAGCCTTTGCCATTCGGTCAGCTCATAACAGCTCACAAGCAAGGCAAGGCGAGGTAGCCCCCCCCCCACTTCCAGTCCTCCTTGACAATACACACCTGCGATTAATGGCCATGTCCTCAGCCCCAGATATAGGGCCAACCCATCAGCTCCTACACTTGACCTTTTCTCAGTGACCTGTGCCTTTTAGCTGAAGGCACTGCAGTGTCTATTGACTGGCGAGTCAGCTTCAATTCTGCCTGGCTGGCCGCAAGCTCTCTCAGTTACCCTGTCCCAACTCTTCCCCAGCCATTGACGCTCACCCTTCTGCTTTTCCCCAGCAGGAAGGGCCCAGCCTCACCTACGCGACCTGCAGCCCCCCGACCAGCGGAGGCTCCCCTCTTAGACTTATAAGTCTGTGGCCACAGGTGTCGGCTGCCTGCCTCCCAGCCTCCCCAGGGTCCCCTCAGAGGACTCCTGGGCTGACCACCTGAGGGGCCTCCGGTGCCCCCTCCAGCCATCCCCTTTAGCTTTGCTCTTCTGGTTCAAGTACTTCTGGCCTCATGGCTGTTACATGGGACTCCCTGAGGCTTGGGGTGGCCCTGGGCCAGTGGGATGGCAGAGTGACCAGAGAAGAGGGAGGCCCTGTGGGTGCATTGCCTGGGTGGTGTGTGAGAGGCCGTGTGTGTGGCGAGAGAGGGCCACCCAGCCTCCACCCAGACTATCCGTTAGTTATGGCCCGGCACCTCCCATCTTCCCTTTTTCATTCATCAACTGTCCGTCTCTTTTCCGGGAACCTTGCCCACATCCACACCTGCCTCATCCCCTCTGCCTCTGCTGGGGGTGGCTGCTCTTGCCTTACCAGCTCTCCTTCCTTTTCTCTCTCCGGTTCTCTCTTGGCTTTCTCTCCAACTGCCAGCCGATCGGGTCAGGCAAGTCCGTCCCGTCCTGAGAGCCCCAGGCCCCCCTTCGACCTCTAACCAGATCCCTCCTAATCCTCGGAGACCTCCCTTTACCAAGCCTGCCTGGACAGCTGTTCTGTGACTTGACAGTGGCTCCCCCAGCCCCAAAGCGTCCTATTCATCATCCGTGACTTAGTCTGTTGTAGTGGTGAGCTGACACATCCAGATGTGATGTTGGTAAAAACTTGTGCCCCTCTGTGGTATTGCTCCTGCGACATTCTATAAATATCTATAAATATACCTATATATATATATATACATATATACATATATATGGCTGACACAGCCTCGCCTATAGTGTCAGAATCAACCACCGTGCTGTCCTTGTGGAGTCTTGTGGTCCAACTACAAGGGAACGCTGTCACCCTGACAACCCCCACATACAATGTGGCACCTGCAGTGAGCCTCCCTGTCCTTCCATCCCCTCGGCCACCCCCGCCCTGCAGCATGGGGATGCTGCACCGGTAGCTGTGCAGGTCTCTGACGGCCACCAGTCTTGCTGCCTCTTGGCTGAGAATAAAACCCATTTCTGGATGATGGGGAATTGTGTGTCCCTCTGCTGGTTTGTATCCTCTGGAGCTGGGGGAGGGGAAGGTGTAAACTGGACACTGAATACAGGGTGAGGAAAAGCCCTTGCTAGGGTGCCCTAAGGTGAGTTTAGTAGGTCCTCATCCTGTGAACCCTGCTTTCACCACTAGGGGGCAGGATCATGAGCTCAGCCAGGAGGCTGTGAGCTAGGACTGCAGCCTGAAGAAGAACAAAACAGGCCCCATGTATGGACTGGCTAGAGAAGGGGGACAGAATGGAGAAGGCCTGGCCTGGAAGTCAGCACCCTCAAGTGCTGCACCCTGAGTTCTACCTACATACAGGTCAGGCTTGACTCTGTTGCCCAACAAGGAAGGCCTGCCCCTGTAGCCCATGACTCCCCCTGGAATGCCTAAGCTTCAATAGGCAGTATACAGATGGTGGCTGCCAATCAGCCCTTCTAGGCACTTCAGACCTTGGTCTCCACACAGGCCAGAAGCCTGCTTTCTCCATGCAGGACACACTCCCTACTCAGTGCCAACCTGAGGTTAACCCCAGAACCCTTGACAGGAACACCTAGGCCCAGAAGTATGGCTAAATCCATTTATTTCCCAAGTAAAAAGCAAAATAAAGAGCTACATCAGCAGGGTGCCACAACCCCGTCTCTGCCTCCTGTCTTCTGTCCTACACTACAAATAAATAAGTTTCCCAGCCCCAAAAGATTACTAGAACCTCTTCCCCACTTGTCAGCTCCAACCTCCACTATGATACAGGGGGTGTCCCTACCCCAGAATATACAAAATGGTACACAGGTACAATATGTACACCGGGGGAGGGAAGCCCACCCCGCCCCAGCAGCCTCTGTTCTGCTTGGTGTACAGCTACCCCAATTGTCATAAGGCCTGAGAGAATGGTACCCACTTTCCCTGCCCCAAAGTGCCTCAAAAAGATGGAAGCCCTCCTAAGTGGGATGCCTTCCTGAGGCAGTTAGCCCCAACTGCCTGGAACCCCAAGAAAATGCCGCCCAGCCCCACTGCCCTAAAGTGCCTCTAAGAAGATGGGAGTTGGTCTGGGGATGTGCTGGACCCTGGGTTTCACCCCCAGCATCACTACACAAAGGAAAAAGGTAGGTGGTTCTGGGGTAAATCAATTGGTAGAGTGCCTGCTTAGCATTGCCAAATACTGGGCACAGTGGTGAGGCAGGGAATCAGAAGTTCAAGCTGTAGTGAGTTCAGGGTTAGCCTGGGATACATGAGACACTATCCGAAGAAAAGAAAAGGGGTATGGAGGAAAAGGAACGTGGAAAGGATTGAGATGGTTAAAAATCAGGAACCCTGCTAAATGCTGGACTATCTACCAGCCCTGCTGCACCTGGCCTTAAAGGCAGTGAAAATGCTGCCAAATTGTTCTGTCCCAGAATGTCTTCAGAGGCCCTCCAAATACAAGACAACAGGGAAGCAGTGTGCTCAATCATGGAGTCTCTGGTGCTTTTTTCTAACAGGAGTCTAGAAAGTAAAACTGCCCTGGCTCAGACAGCAGAAGACCTGTTTGTATCCCCATTAAGACAGTGAGTCTGATCTTTTGGTTTTTCAGACAGGGTCTCAATATAGCCTGTTATGGCTTCAGACTCACTGGGGTAGATGAGGATGGCTGATTCTCCTGCCTCTACTTCCCAAGTGCTGGAATTACAGGCATCAGCAGTTTCAGGGGTGCTAGGGGTGGGACCCAGGACTGTGCATGGCAAGCAAGCACTCTACCAACTGAGCTACTTCCCCAGCCCCTGGAGGGGGTGGAGTCTGACCTAATTATAAGGATAAGGGTGGCTGAGGAGGGAAGTGGGTTGGGCAGAATCTTTGGCTGCCCTTGGTGAGGCTTTGGCCACCAGTCTTTTAGACAACCATGATTTTCACCTCATCGTTCTCATCAGCACGGTAGAAAAAGGGGATGCAAGGGTTGCTCCCCAGGCCCGGGCGCTCCTGGGGGTTCTGGATCTCACGCAGCAGCTGCATGATCTGCTGTGCAGTGGCGTTCTCGTGGGGAGCGGGAGTCCCAGCCTCTCCTTGTACAGGCTCTACATTGTCAGCCAGGCTCACCTCCCTGAGGTCTTTAGAGAGACGGGGATGGAAGAAGTCAAGGCTTTGCATGCCATGGGAGTCCTTCCATCTATGCCTCCCCAAGACAAGGGCTCTACTCACCACCCTGCTGGTCAGCAGCTCCAAATTCCTGGGAGCTTGTGGGCCCTGGGGTGGGCACATCAACGGAGTTCTGAGAGACTGCCAGGAACTTGCCCTGCCATTCATTGCGCTCGCTCACAAGCCTCAATACCAGCTCCTGCAGCTCTAGCAGCTTTACCTGGAGAAAGAGGTGCTCAACCAGAGTATCCCAGCCCAGGTTAGCAGGGCCTGGACTATAGAAGTGTGAGTCTTACTTTCATCTCCTCCTTGTCCTGAGCCAGCCGGCTAATATACTCCTCCTTCTCCAAGTGCCGGGCCTTCAGCACTGCCCTCTGGTTTTGGTAGAGAGCAATGTACTCTCCTGTGGAATGGCAGGCAGGTGGACAGGGCTCAGGCACTGTGGCTCCCCCAGTCTGCCCCATATGCAACGCCCCCCAACCCTCTGCAGCCTTAGGCTGCTCTCTGCCTCACCAATGGTGTCTGTCTCTCCAGAAAGCTGGATACAGCAATGTTCAAGCTCCTCTACCCTCTCCTTAAGCTCCACTTTCTCCTGCATGACCTCCAGGAAGCGGCTCTGGAGCCAAAACAGAGATCTCAGGGATTCAGAGGCCCTGGCTGGCCCCACCCTCCCAGCCCCCAAAGACATACTCACCTGCAGCTTCTCCATGGCTACACGTAAGGCCTGGTTGTTCTCCTCAGATGCAGAGTCACCCACATTCCCAGGGACCACTGCCTCCTTTTCAAGCTTGCTTTGGACTGGGGTTGCCAGGTGAACCAAGCTCCGGCAACGTGCCTTTTGCTCTCTCAACTGCATGCGTAGCCGGGCCTGCTCTTCCTCAGCACTGGCTATAGCTGCATTAAAGAATGCCACCTGCATAAAAAAGGGAGGTGTGCTTCTTAGGGAAATGTTCAGAACAAAGCAGGCAGGGCACTGGGTCCAAGGCACAACGCGGTAATTAAAGAGATCAGTGGGCAGGAAACCAAGGACTACAGAGGTAGGGAGAAGTGGGTAGCCCAGCTCACCATGGCCTCTCTACTGTCAAGGTCTTCTGGGATGGTCAGAATGGGCCGAGGAACCTCCTCATCTTGTTCCTCCTGGTCCACATCTCCTGAGGGCAGACAGTAGGTTGTCTCTTCTGATATCCCAGCAGGTAGACAGAGTGGGCTAGGGGAAGAGAGCTCAGGACCCCACCTCTATATCTCCATTGTATCCCCTGGGGCCAGGCGCTGACTAGAAAATGTCCACTAAAAGCTTCCCCAAACACATTCCTCTTCTCCTACATGGTCTTACCATCCCCAGGGAGGGCCAAGAGGCTCAGCTGGGCCCGGAGCTGCTGGTTTTCCTGTCTGGTGGCTTCTAAGTGCTCCTAAGAGGTCAAGAAATAGTGAGAAGGTACAAAGGTGGCCAGGTCCTCCCACTGGGGTCCAGCCTCAAGAACTGCCTCACCTGGGCCTGTTGCAACTCCTGGTGGGCCATTTCGGCTGCCATCTTGCCCTGTACCTCCTCATGCTGCAACTGGTCCATGAGCTGTGTCTGCAGCAGGAGCTGCTTGTGCAGTGACTCCTTCTCAGAGGTCAGCTGCTCATAGGCAGCCAAGTGCTGTTGGTAGGCAGCTGCATACTGTTGCAGGTGTGACAGGCACTGATCTCGCTGCTCCTGCAGACCCTGTGCTTCCTGGCTCTTCAACTCCACCTGCAGGAAGGCTAGGCCTGAGGGCAGGCAGTGGCTGGCTCCCACATCCTGAGCCTATGCCTTTGCACCCGCTTCACACCCACTTGAGGCCCCAAGTATGGAAAAGCAGATGGAACCAGCCCATTCTCTTCTGCACAAACTACTAGTGCCCAATATTTTATGTACATTTTCTCATTTCACTTTCAACACCTCTATGAGAAAACTCATCTTTTAAGTTCAGTAAACAGGTTTGGTGATGGGAAGAATTTGAACACATGGACGTGAATCCAGCCTAAACCCAGAGCCTTGTTTAACCTACAGCTATAAAAAGGCTGCTTCAGGCCTTGGCTGTCCAGGGCTACCTATCTCTAATACAGCAGTCACAGGCTGCTTCACAAGACTGGATTGCCTGTCCCAAAGGCTGCAGCTGACCTGTGATGGGCCCTGCACTCTCCCTCTCCAAGTCCCATGGCTGGCACCACATATGGTAGGTCTTACTGTCTCCTTCAGCTCTCCCAGCCTCTCCTGTAGCTCGCCCAGCTTCTTGGCCAGCTCTTTCTTGACATGTTGCTCTGACTGCAGTGCACTGGTAATCTCCATGTTCTCGTTGGTCTGAACAGAAAGCAGCAGTCAGCAGGACCTAATGTGGCAGAAGTCCCCAGAACTGCATGTGTACCTCCTCCCACAGAGCGGGAAAGCTTCTGGGATCATTCCCACACACCCTAGGGCTCTGGATCACAGGGTGCCTTCACCACTACCATCTCATGTGAGGTGGATAGCACCTCATCCCTTGCAGTGCCGACCAGAATGGGCGAGTGTGTTCCCTGTGAGTAAGAAGGGCCTGCAGGCTCCGCACCAGCCTGACAAAGCCGTTCTGTAGCTCGGCCAGCTGCTCCTTCAGCTCGCGGTTCTGTGACAGTGCTCTGCTGATGGTGGTGCGGTCACTCTGCATGCTCTCCAGGATGTGCTTGCGCTCCTCCGCCTGCTCGCTCCAGCGCTGGGCTTCCCGCTCCAGCTCCAGCAGCCGCCCCTCCTGCTCCTGGTTCAGGTGGCTCAGGCTCTCGTTGTCCTGCACCTGGGCCCGCAGCTGTCCTGTCAGACTCTCCAGTTCCTTCTGCAATTGCTCAACCTCTCCCTGAAGCCGCTCTTCCACCTCGGAGGGCCCAGCTGGAGGCTCTGGGGGTGGTGGCTCCTCTGAGAAGGGAAGCAGGCACAGTGAGGGATCCACTCCTTGCTTCTCAGGCTGCACTGTGAGTCAGGCTCTCCACCCCAAGCCTTGGCTTTTCTGTCAAGGGTCTCAGATGAGGTAAGCGTTTCAAGTCACTCTAGTTCAGTTCTCTGATGCTCAGTCACCTACAGGGGTAGCAGTAGGCTGCAACCCTGCTTTTCACAGAGGGACACAGCTCAGACAGTTGACAAGACTTGCCACCTGATCCTGGCAGAGACCCCTTGCCCTCTGCTACAATGTCCTTACACCCACCTGCCTCCTGGGGCAATGGAAGCCACCTTCATGGCCCTTGGACCTACTCCTGCTCTCAGGTCCCCCTTGCCCTACTCACCCATCTGTTTCCTGAGTTCCGCCAAGCTGCTCTCCAGCTCTTGTACCTGACTTTCTCTGTGCTCCTTCTCTTCCTTCAGTGTGTGTACCTGCCCAAGAGATCACAGGCACCATCTATTCCCAGTCCCACCTCTGCAAAACCGAAGCCCCTACAAAAGCCTCAGCCATACCGCACTGAGGCTCACGAAGAGCAGAGACACTAGGCCTCACCTGTTCTGCCATCTGCTGTATCCTCTGCTGCCACATGGCACTCTCTCCTTTCAGGTTCTCTGCATACTGGTCTCTCTCCATCTGGAGCTGTTTCAGCGACTCCATCAGCTGCATCAGTCAATGCAGGAGTTACAAAAGGCTGTCACTGGTCCTTACCTGCCCTGGGCTACCAGGGGCCATGCCCTTCCTCTCCCCCGACAAGCCCTCACCTGGCCTACATGGGTCTCCAGCTGAGCCCGCTCCTCCATGGCATGCTGTAACTGCTGGTTACTGTCAGAGGCCTCGGACTGGCTAGAGAACTGTAGGAGGGAAATGAGGGGTGTAGGCCTGGGAGTCTGTGCTGTTCCACTGCAGTGCTCCCCACAAGAGCATGAGCTAGGATTAATGGACAACTCAGGGTGATTGCCATAGGAGAAGAGTACCCAGAGGAGGTAAACAGACTCCTGCATAGGTCGTTGATATTACACAGGATGATGGCTTTTCAGCTGGGCATGGTGGCTCATGCCTGCAACCTCAGCACTTAGACATGTACGGTAGGAGGATTACCATGAGTTCAAGGCTAGCTTGATTACCTCGTGAGTTATAGGTCACCCTGAGTGACTGACAGGCTCTGTCTCAACAACCAAAACCATTAATCAATCAATAAGTAGACGTTTTTTTCAACCAAGACACCTCAAAATAAAAATGAAAATGTAACAGCCATATCACCGCCACTGAGGTAATGGCTCCATAGGTGTGGTCAGGCTTCCCTGTTGAACAAATACTAGATAATCTACTACAGGACCAGGAAGAGGCTCCCACTGTCCCTGTCCAGCTCGTGGCTGCAGGTCGTCCCCATGAATGGATGAGACTGTGTACCCGGGTCTCAGGCTCCACCCCAAGGATGTCTGAATCTTTGGGGTGTGGGCTGCTCCTCTTACCTGTTGTAGCAGCAGCTCTGACATCTCCAGCTTCTTCTGCAGCTCCTCCACCCCCAACTGTGCAGCTGTTTTCTCTGCCACTAGGACTCGAACTTTCTCTTCCAGTTCTGAGTTTTGCTGCCTCAGGTCCTCATTATTTTTGCTGTGGCCAGAGGTAGTGCAGTAAGGAGGAACGAAGAACAAAAAGGACCACACTTTAAAGTGATGCATGAGCCTTGTCACACAGCCACAGGACACAGCACTGTGTCCAAAGTGACAAGCCTCAGAGAGAATGAGTCAGCAGGGGCCACACCATGAGTCAGGCGCATGGCTGGGACTAGAGCATAGCTCTACACAAGCCCAAACCTGTCTCCTCAGACTCTCCATTCTCCACACTAAGGCTGCAGATAGCCCAACCTCCTTCCCATTCTTACTTGTTCTTGTACAACTCCAGCTTGAGGGCATCTCGCTCTTTGGTTAGGTCCTTGTTGTACTGCAGATAAAGAAAGCCGAGTCTGGACCTGGCAGGCTGATGAAGCAACCGGCAGAGCACCAACCAACGGTCCCAGTGATATTCCACGTGATGTTTCTTTTCCTTGATTACACCTGACGTTTTCCCAAGGCATTTCTAAGCCTGTGGTCTCATTTATGTTTCTGTGTGCTTGTTTTGTTTGTAAGGTGCGGTCACCCTATGTTATCTAAGCTGGCTTGCTGGGCTTAGGTGATCTTCCTGCCTCGGCTTCCCCAACAGCTGAAACCAAAGGTCCACACCACCAGTCATAACTTTCAGGGTTGTTTGTAGTATTTTGAATTTTTATTTATTTTATGTGTACTGGTGTTTTCCCTACATATATGTCTGTGCTCCACAGCATGAGTTACAGAAAGTTATGAAGCACCACATAGGTACTAAGATGCAAACCTGGGTCTTCTGGAAGAGCAGTTAGTGCTCTTAACTAGCAAGGTGTCTCTCCGGCCCTCTTTTTGTTTTTAATTAATAATAGAATTATTAACTTTTTTTGCGAGTTTAGGTTTAAACTCAAGTCCTTGTACAGCCAGTCAATTGCTCTAGCACTAACTAATAATAACCTACTCTTTTAGTTTTCCTTTCCAAACAGGGCAGTGATCCAGGCGAGCCTAGAATTTACAATATAGCCCAAGGTGGCCCTCCCGCCTTAGTCTCACCAGAGCTGAGATCACAGGCATGTGTTGCCTTGCCCAGCATTCACTTTAGTTTTATGAGACATAGTCTCATGCAGATGGGACTAGCCTTTAACTCCAGATCCTCCTGCCTTTCTCATCGAAGTACTGGGATTACAGGTATGTGCCACTCCATCTGGCTCATTTGTTTTGTTGTTGTTATTATCATTATTAATTTTTTTTTATTTTTTGGAACATAAAATTTTTTCTACATAGCCCTGGCTGTCCTGGAACTCGCTATATAGAACAGGCTGGCCTCAACTTACAGAAATCCACCTGCCTCTGCCTCCAGAGTGCTGAGACTAAATATGTGTACTACCACAGCTGAGCCCATGATTTTTTTTTTTTTCATTGCATTTACACAGCCAGGCCTTGTAGCACATGCCTTTAATCCCAGCACTCAGGAAGGCAGAGGCAGGTGGGGATCTCTGTGAGTTTGAGGCCAGCCTGGTCTACAAAGTGAATCCAGGACAGCCAGGGCTCTGTTACACAGAGAAACACTGTCACATAAACAAAAACAAAACAAAACAGAAGCCTAGCATTGGGCCAGGAACTCTCAGACACTACTGGTAGTGTTAATACTGTTTACTGAGCACTCTACCAGGCAATATTGCTAGCAATCCCATCCAATCTTCACACTCATCTAGAACAGTTGCAGAAATGCAATATACAAAGGCTAAATGCTGGCCTGAAGTCATTTAGGCAGAGAGAGCTGGGACTTGAACATTTAGGAGTGACTAAATCTCTAGGCAGATAAGAGGAGGAAATTAAACTTCTGTTTGCATCTTGTGCTCTCCTCTGAACAGATGGTTCATTCACACAGTCCCAAACTCAGAGGGTACAGAAGCAAAAGTCCTCTCAGTCACTCTGTTCCCAACCGTGAGTTTATCAATCCTCTCATGTTTTATATATACTGCACACACACATTCTCCTCTCCCCACAAATGGTACCACACTAAGCTCTTCTGTACTTTCACAGCCCAAGTACCATATCGTATCTTTTAGCATTTGGCCAAGGCCACACACAGTAGGTTGAGGTCCCAGCAGGCACCTGCCTTTAGGTTTAGCATTCAGTGTTTGCTTATGCAGACCCTAGTCACCCAGCACTGAACTCATCTCCAGATTGCTTCTACCAACCACACAACAAAAGCAGGAAGAAACGACCTGTGCTGAGTTGTCTGTCAGCAGCAAGACACTGGATCATGCTGAAAAGCCCTTTAAGCTCACTGTCCACCAGGAAGTTACTAATGGCCAAAGAGGCAACATGTTTTACCCTGTCTGCCTGTTTTTGTTGCGTTGACACAGTAGACAGGGTCCGCTCCAGCTCTCCCACACGCTGTCGGGAAGACTGTAGGCGGCTGGCAAGATCCTCCGACTCTCCTAGAATGAGTAATGGCTAGATGAAGCCCCAGAGATGCTCCCTCAAGCCTGCCAAGGTATCAGTACTATGCTGAAGATGCCCGGACCTACCTGCTTTCTGCCTGGCTGCCTGCTGAGTATGGGCCAGGGCTGTCTGTAATTCTGCCTTCTCAGACACCAGGATGCCTATGGTCTGAATGTGAACCTTTGGAGAAAAGCCAACAAGTTCTGAGAGAAAGGAGAGAAACGCTCTTCAGAGGACATGGGGATACTGCATAGGCCCCTCACCTGCAGCTGTTCCCTGAGAGCTCCCTGCTCCTTTGCCAGCTTCTGCTGATAATCCTTCTTCTCCTGCAGGCATGGGGAAGTGCAGCTCTTAGTGAGGAGGCAGAGATGGTCTGGCAAGGGACACAGCCCCAGAAAGACACCAGTGGCCCAGGACAGGCTCATCATGAGGCCATGTTATCAAGGATCCTATGGAGGACACCCTGTGTGTGTGTGTGTGGGGGGGGGGGCGCTTTTCCACAAAAGAAGTAAGCAAGACCAAGGCCTACAACTCTGAGGCCTCTTCCACCCCATCAGCCATGAAAGGAGCAAACACAGAAATCACATTACTTTTTCCAGTTGATCCAGAGTATCTTGGTTCTGTTGTTTCTGTGGGAAGAGCCAAAGGGAGCTGACTGGGGCTGACCCCTTTCATGACACCCCAGACCAAACAGGGCAATGGATTTGAAAAAGGTGCTCAGACCAGTGGGCACATGAACTAACAAACTCCTCAAGCTCCCAAAGAACTACCACCTGTGTTTTGGCTGCCTCTCACTCACAACTATGCAACAGAGGTCTGAACCTGAGTCCAAGTTAAAGGACAGTAAATCTAGAAACAAGTTTGAGAAAGAAGACTACCCTCTGCCAGTTTGGGACTTGGAAGAGTGTGCTGAATTAAGAACTGAGCATATCTTGCAGGTACAACCAAGAGAAGAATGGGAAAGCACTAGCTTCTGACAGTTCCAGGAGCCCTCAAGCCCTAGCCTCCTGACAGTGGGAAGAGGTCTCTGATAACCCCCAATTCTGCCTCAACAGGAAACTCAAACCATGGGAGTGGTGTGGCCAAAATCAAAACAAATAAGGACCTAAGGCCAGGACAGGACATGGGGCTCCTGACAACCAATCGGGTGTGTGTTCCCTTCCCTTGGAGGCTTCCCCAAGCTCAGAACAAGTAGGGCGAGGACTGAAGCAGGGGGGTCTGGAGTATAGAACAGAGGTGCACACAGAGCACTAAGAACCATGCTGCATGCTCTATGCTCTGGGTGCCTCCAGCTGAGACTGAGGCCCCAGGTTTCCCACTCCCCCTTGGTCCCAGAGGGGGCCCCAGTCCCTTTCTTCAGAGCCCCAAGGGGAAACTGAAGCCCAGGACTGGCAGCAAGAAGCGGGGACCCCACTGGACTCTTACCAATTCCTCTATCGTGCTACTGAGTTGTTTGTTTGTTACATAGCTGGAGTCCAGGGCTACTGCTAGCTCTTGGTACCGGCTCTGAGGCGCATGCAGAGAGGAGGAGTTGGAGGAGGGGTGGGGGAAAGGTAGAGAGAGCATCATTAGGGTCGGGGGTGGTGGGCTGTCTCAGCTGGCAGTGGGCACCCAGGTCCCACTGTAGAAGGAGATAGGTGGTTGGCTTAAAGGGTCACTGGGCCATGTTCCAAGGCCACTCACCTCCAGCTCCTTCATGTTGGAAGACGTGAGGCCCTCCCCGTTGATGTAGGATGTAGACTAGGAGAGACAACACCTCACGTGGAGAGGCTCTGTCACCCTCAATGTTTAATCCCTCCAACCTCCTAACTTCCCCCTCAGCCTGCAGAATCTGCCTTCCTGCCTACCTTATATCTGCTTTGTGCCACGCCTCATGGTTTGTTTATTTTTGGTTTTTTAACACGGGCTTTCTCTGTGTAGCCCTGGCTGTGCTGGAACTCACTCTGTATTTCAGGCTGGCCTTGAACTCAAGTGTACTGAGTTCAAGTTCTCTGCCTCCTGAGTACTGGAATTAAAGGCGTGTGCCACCACTACCTGGCCACTCCTCATGGTTCTTATCCCACCATGCCTCAACCTCGCCCATTAACACCTGTCATCTTACACTTTCCACACCAGGATAAAATCACTCGCCATCATGGTACAAACCCAAGTCTTCTCCAGATATGACAAGAGCCTCTCATGAATTAGTCTCTTGAGAATCCTGCCTCAGTTTCTACCAAACTTCCTTTCCCCCCTGCTACCTTCTTTCTAGACCCCAATCCTATGGTACCTCAGACACAAGGCCATTCAGCTGTTGAGAAAGTTGTCGCAGACTCTCAGTTGATGAGAAAGTCCTAAGAAGGGAGAGATACGGTCAGGGGTGCAGATAGCTTGAGGGGGATGAGGTTCACAGGCAGAGGCCTGCCCTGACTTCCTCAGCAGGGAACACTTACTTGGTCTCCTCCATGAGGGTAGAGCAATTGCCAGCATCATGGCTCTGTATAGGTACAATAAAACAAACAAACCAAAAACAAACAAACAAACAAAAAAAAAACCATTCAGTAACATTATTAAAAAGTAACAGTATTCAGCTTCTGCTTATTATCACACAGGGACAGGCTGGGCCAAGCTCATCTCAATACCCATCTCCCCAAGCCTCCCTCATCTTGGCCTCCCCATGCTAGGCTCCAGGAGCATTACCTGGACCAAGCTACCTGAAGAGAGAAGAGAGTTCAGGGAAGGTAGAGTCCTTTGGGAAGCAGACAGGAGGGCAGCAGGCAACAGGGAAAAGCACAAACCTGAGGTGATGCCATGCTGGCGAGATTGGCATCAGGGGAAGGAACAACACCGAGAAACATAGTGTCGTCATCAGTAGTTGGCGATGCAGGAGCAGTGTGGTCTGTGGGCGCCTGTCATGAACAGAGCAGTGGGGTTAGAAGACCATGCGGGAGACAGGCGCCTCACGGCCATGGACATGAAGTCATGGGGCAAGCAGGGCAGCACAGCAGCAGGCACAGGACGGTCGCACATGCTGGGAGCCACCGAGGTAAAGACATGGCCTGCCCGGGCCTCAGGCCACTTAGTAGCTCAAAGCAGGGGTTGCAGGGTCTCCTTTCTGAATACCCAAGGACCTTGTTCCCTCTGGAGTTCTGAGCTGCGGTAGCCACAGCAGGGAGAAGGAAGTGCCCAAGTCCAGGAGCCAGAGAGCAAGCCTGCCCCTGACTGTGGCCTTGACTTTAGGTCCTGCTTCTGGGGTGGACTAGTTGTCATGGTCAACGTAACCATTCTCCCTCTTCCTCTTGCTTTCCTGCCTTCCCTCCTTGCAGACCCACACACTGGCTGTGTTTGCTGATTCAGAAACCACTGGATAAGGCAGAGAGCAATGGCTGACCTTTGTTATGAACTATCCAGGAGATCACATGATTTTCCTAGGAAAAGCTGCCAGGGACCAATCCTAGGATTTAGGATGTGAAGGCTTGTGGAAGTCTCTCCACTTCCCTGGCAGGAACTACCTGCTTGACCAGCTGTATCCAGTCACTCCTCAGGCTCAGGCCTCACTCTTATTTTTTGTTTTGTTTTGGTTTTTTTATACAAGGTCTCACTTTGTAGCTCTGGTTGCCCTGGAACTCTCTCTGTAGACCAGGCTGGCCTCAAACTCACAAGAGATCCACCTGCCTCTGCTTCCCAGGTACTTGGATTAAAGGCGTGTGCCACCATACAGATACCTCAGGACTCACTCTTAGAATATGTCTTTGGCTTAGAGATCTTCTGGTGTCCAACACCAGATGGGTAGAGAATGGGAAGACAAATGAGTCACTAACAGGAAGCCTAGGCCTGTCCAGCAAGGCTGGTCTGGGAGGAAATGGCCATGCCTTTCCCAAAAGAGGGGCTTCTTCCTTTCTGTAGCCTTCGGTCTCAGCCTCTTAACATGCTGACCAAATTTCCTCCTTTGAGCAACCTCTGAGAACTAAGGGTGAGCCTCACTCTTTGTAGGGTTACTGTGACCATGTATGTCCCTGGAGTCCCATGTGACTGTCAGCTTTGAATCACCCGTAGGTGTTGTCTTGACAACATGTACAGTTGAATCTAACTTGTAAGAGCAGAGACCCTAAGATAGTCTTAGGGGGTGTGGCAAAAACTCCCAGCAACCGACCTTCCTAGGCTCTGGGTCCCCTGTGGCATCTTAAGAGCACAGATCTCCAAGACTGGCAATATTCAGAGAGGCAAAAAATAAAAGTATTTTTCTGAGCACCCTTATGGATTTGGTTTCAGGTTTTGAGACAGGGTCTCTCTGAAGTCCAGGCTTGCCCCAAACTGGAGACCTCCTTTCTGCCTTAGCTTCCTAAGAGCAGGACTATAGGGACAAGACAGCAGGTATTGTTGGGGACTTTCAAAGACTCTGTGAGGAACCAAGTAATTCCTCAGCTAAACATGGAGTTTTTAACAAAGTTTTCACAAGCAGGCGCAGTGACGCATGCCTGTAATCCCAGCACTCAGGGAGGCAGAAGCAGGTAGATTTCTGTGAGTTTGAGGTCAGCCTGGTCTACAAAGCAAGTCGAGGACAGACAAGGCTACACAGAGAAACCCTGTCTCGAAAAACTAAAAACTAAAAAACAAACAAATAAATAAAGGTTTTCACTTTCCTCAAAATGTCCCATCCCATCAGAAACTACTTTTATCTTTCTGTCACTTCTTGTTTCATCTTTACTCAGGAGATGCCGATCTCCTTCAATCTTGGAATAGAAAATTAGTTACTGATTCGAGAAAGTTTTCAAAAACACAAGAAAATCTTTCATTTCCAGAACAGAGAGGCTGGGTACTCAGGTAAGTTTTTTTCAATGAGGAAATTGAGGCCCCAGCTCTCTGTGTGGCTGACTCCTTAGCACAGCAAATGCCAAATTTGTGGCTGTAAATATGACCCTGTCCCACACAACGTGCCGCTCTGAGCGGAGAAATGAGGCACAGCCCCTGAGCAGAGCACATCTGGCCAGGGGCAGCACTGTTGGCTAAAAAGAGCCCAGCTCCAGCCTTCAAGTCCTCACTCTGTTCCATGCCCAGTCTAACAGGATGTGGCCATGGCTCAGGCCACTCCTTCAGTTGACAGAAGCCTGCTCCTGATGTTGGACAATGTCCTCTGGCACAAGTTACTTGTGGAAGTACTAAGCTATGTCTACAGGCCATCTCCAAGCTCTGTGAATGCAGATCCTGTCCCACTGGCTCCCTGCATCTCTGAGAGGTGCCTGCCTGTCAGCCCACTGCTTCCCCACTCCCCAGCTCCCCACATAGATGAACATGACCCATCTTTCATCATCAAAGTATCTGCAAACGCCCCAGCCTCCAGTCCACTGGGAACCAACTTTCCTCCTGCTACATTAGGCATCATGGAGGTCATAACACCTTGTCCTGTTCATCTCCTCTGGTATTTACTTGAGACAGGGTCTCACTATGTATCCCATGCTGTCTTGGGACTTAACATCCTCTCGTCTCAGTCGCCTGAGTCCTGGGCTTACCTGGCCTGCTCATCTATTTTTGTCACTGTTTATCAAGTGCCTTTCCTATCAAGGGTCTGCTAATTTTTTGGGTTTTTACAGACAGGGTTTCTCTGTGCAGCCTTGGACTCACTTTGTAAACCAAGCTGGCCTTGAACTCACAGTAATCCACCTGCCTCTGCCTCCCTGAGTGCTCTGCTGATTTTTCAAAAAGACTGAGGGCAGACTCTTCTGTCACTCATTTGTTGCTTAACTTTCCTCTTTGACAGTAAGTTTCTTTCTTTCTTTTCTTTTCTTTTTTTTTTTTTTTTTGTCTTTTGTTTGTTTTTCAAGACAAGGTTTCTCTGTGTAGCCCTGGTTGTCCTAGAACAGGACATGGCCATTTCCTCACAGACTCAGAGACCCTGCCTCTGCCTCCTGAGTGCTGGAATTAAAGGTGTGACTTTAAACTATTGACATTGCCTGTCAATAGATTCTTAGAAAAAAGTCATAATCCCCAGAAACAATACTCTAATTCATTTTCTCATAACTGTATGTTCCTAAGTTTCAAAACAAAACTATTTCATAAAAAACAATCACAGACTTCCGTGGTTTAGTTTCTCGGAGACAGATATCCAGAGGGCAAGACCTAAAAGGTGGTTTTGTGTTTCCATCTGTCCGTGTTCACACACCTGATCTGGAAGTTATTTCCCCCCAATTAGCTTTAACTTTCAGGGTATGTATCTTCTAAGAGGAGAAATGATACGGGAGAGAAAAAAAAAAAAAGCAAAAAAAAAAAAAACAAAACAAAACAGCCAATCAAGCAAGCAGTGGAAGAAGCAGACATATAAGGGGCTGAGGGTTAACTGAGGCAACATGAAGGAAGCCAGTGGCAGAGGATCACCCAAAGAGGGAGGCCTCTGCAGCATGCATGGCTGGGAGAGCAAGCCAGAGTGAGTCTTGGCACTGCCTCACCTTCCTCTTGTCTAATGGGGGGAGCGAGACCCCATTGGAACGGTTAAGGTCGGACACCAACACCTTCAGGATGTCCTGAATCTATAGCAGGTGAGAGGGAAAAAGAAGGGCAGGGAGAGAGAGAGGCAGGAAGGTCAGGGCAGGAAGAAGAGAAACAGTCAGGGAAATGGAATACTCAAGAGCAGAGATCAGCACCCAGGCCTGCGCCATCCTTCCAAACAGCCACCTGCTGCCTTGTCAGAGGTAGCCCTCAACATGAATAAGAATCCCCCAAGGGATGCAGCAACTCAACCTGCAGAGGAGATCCTTTCCACAGACCTAGCATTTCAGGGAGTAACGGGGAGAGGCCCTTACCCATATTCACCTTCAAACCAGACTCTCAAGAGAATTCTTCAGCTTTACACTGCTACAGCACAGCTTAAAAGCAAGTGTGTAAGACACTAAGCCAATCCATCACCCTCTTGTCAGATGAAGAAACTAAGCATGTGTGTGGTAACGCAGGAAGCTCATGACAACGATGGACTTAAAATGTACATCTTGTCTTTCTGATGTTTCCTTTTAGGAAACCTTGACAACAAGTGACGTTCCATCTGGCCTGGTTTGCAGCCCAAACCAAGAAAATCAAGCAGGGCCCATTGTTCACTCACTGTTAATGCCGCAGCAGACCTTCTAGTGGGGGAATTAACACAAAACAACCACAAGAAACTCCACTCCACCTTTATAAATCTACATTCAACAATATTATCACTATCTTACAGGTATGTAAAAAGAGGCTCAGACTTTAGAAAACTTGCTCTAAATATTACTATATTTCTAGTTTATGGAGAGAGAGGATTCAGACCCAGAATTTATTTTATTTTTCTGTGCTGAGATAAAAACTCAGGGTCTCTTACGAGGCAAGACCTAGTTCATTACCACTGAATGAGGCTCTGAGCCCTCAAAACCACAATTTTTAAACGGCACCTGCAGCACCTGACATCTGAACCACAGCCCTCCCCTCTGCCCCATCCTCATGAATTTGGCAGCCAAGACTCACATCCCCCGGTGACTGACAATCATGGGCGGTGGTTCTCTCAGGGCTGCTGCCATTTTTATTCTTTTTCTTCTTCTTTGCTCCTGCAGGAACACCAGGGCTGTTCTTCTGCTGATACTCTCTCAACTGTGGAGAGGAGAACAGAAAGAAATGAAAGTCTTTTGCCCCATACTCACGGCCTCTGCTCAAGTCTTCCAGTTTGAGTGTTTTTTTTTTTTTTTTTTTTGCTTGGTGTTTTGGTATACATCACTTGTTTGAGACAGGCTGGGCTCTGTTGTGGATAGAAACATGGTTCTGTTTTGGTCCCAGGTGTGGGACATGGAACTGATTCAGAGGGTCCACAGCAGCAGACTATTTGCCTCATGTGGGCTCTGAGAGGAGCTCTTTGCCAGCAGCAGATAGTTTGAATCTGAGGACTTTGGAGAGAGAATAAATGCCAGAGCCCAGAGAGTGGAGAGAAGAGAAAGAACAAGGCTGTTCCTGGTTGCTGTTTTGAGACAAGAAGAGGGAGATCTCCTGAAACAAGGGTTGGACTGGCTCCAAGGAACCTGATGACCCTAACCAGAAGAAAGCAGCTAGGAAAACTGTGCCCCCTTCTCCCACTAACCTTTCTCTCTCCTACCTGGTATTGAGGTGTTGGAAGGGACTGGGGTGGAGTAGGGAGAAAAAGATAACATAAATAAAGTTTTTAAAAAACTAACACCAACAGGGCTCCAACTCACTATGTAGATGTTGCCCTGAACTTCTGACCTTCCTGCCTGAACCTCTAAAAGCACTAGGATTATAAGTACACTGGTTTATACAGCACTTGAGAGCAAACCTAGGGCTTTGTGCTGTTAAGCAAGTATTCTACCAGCTGAGCTACATGCCCAGTTTCCTCCTATGCTGTTTTTATAAAAATTCTTTTTTAAAAAAAATGTGCATTGGGGTTTTGCCTGCATGTATGTCTGTAGGAGAGTGTCAGATCTTGGAGTCACAAACAGTTGTGAGCTGCCAAGTGGGTGCTGGAAACTGAAGTCAAGACCTCTGGAAGAGCAGTTAGTGCTTCTAACTGCTGAACCATCTCTCCAGCCCCTGTAAAAATACTACGTCCATAAGTCTCAGGTAATGGTACCATAATTCCACAAAACATTATAATGACCTCTTAATGGCAGAAGAAATAGCATGGCTAAAAAGGCAGTAATTGGGTTGGGAATGTAGCTCAGTGGAATACTCGCTGAGGCCCTGAGTTACATCCCCAGCAACACACATGCCTGCACACAAACACACAGAGGCAAACACAAAATTTAAACTTAATTTTCTGATGCCAGCTCTGGGGTTTGCAGCTCCCAGGGGGAAAAGCTAGAGGTAGAGATGAGAGAGTAAACACTTAGTAGGCAGGAACTAGCTGGGTGTGCTGCTGTCACCTATCTGTAATCCCAACTCTTGGGAGAGGCAAAGGATTGAGAGCGAAACTTACCTGGACTACACAGCAATACCAAGTCTCAGAAGAAAACAAGCAAGAAAAGGAGCCAGTGGACAAGGACCACACACTGGACCTTAAACACTATCTTGCTGAGCATGGTGGAACACACCTTTAATCCTAGCATTCAAAGCAGAGGCGGATGGATCTCTGATGAGTTCCAGGCCAGCCAGGGATACACAGGAAGACTGTCCTTATTATTTATTTTTTAAGTATATTTTATGTTCATGAGTGTTTTGCCCACATATATACATGTGCAGGTGTCCCTGGTGCACCCAGGTCAGAAGAGGGTGTCAGAACCCTTGGAACTGGAGTCACGGATGACTGTGAGCCATCATGTGTGTGCCAGGAATAAAGCCCAAAGATTCTGTCTTTAAAATATGTACATGTGCGCATATATGTCTGCATACTATGAGAAGGGTGCACAGGTATGTCATGGTGCACACAAGAATGTCAGAGAATGGCCTCAACGTTACTTCTTTTCCACTCTGAGACAGCTCCTGCTATCACACACACCAGGCTAGACGGGCCTTCAGTGTCTAGGAATTCTGTCTCGGCTGTCCATCTTGCCAGAGAACATTGGGACTTACAGATTCGTGCTGCCATGCCTGGTTTAATGTGGGGTCTAGGAAAGTCCCCTAGACCAGGTCCTCCTGCTTGCGCAGCAAGTACTTTACCCAATGAACCATCTCATTGTCAAAAGCTAAAGTAATTGTCAATACAACCTCAAGCCAATGGTTTCTTTTCTTTTGTGGCAGTGCTGGGGATTGAATCTGGAGCATCATCTGTGAGAGGCCAGCATTCTACTGAGCCATATAAATACAGCTTCCCTTCAAAAAAAAAAAAAAAAGATTGCTGGGCACAGTGACTCTTACCTTTCATCCCAGCACTAGGAAGGCAGTGGCAGGTGGATCTCTGAGTTCAAGGCCAGCCAGTATTATTAAACCCTGTCTCAAAACAAAAAAATAATAAATGTCTAAAAGATTTTTTTTTTTTAAAGCAGGGTTTCTCTGTGTAGCCCTGGCTGTCCTGGAACTCATTCTGTAAACCAGCCTGGCCTTGAACTCACAGAGATCTGCTTGCCTCTGCCTCCCAAATTCTGGGATTACAGGTGTGGACCACCACCGCCCAGCTCTAAAAGTTTGTTTTTTTGTTTTTAAATATATAATTAACTTTATTTTATGTGCATTGGTGTGAGGGTGTCAGATCACCTGGAACTGGAGGTACAGACAGTTGTGAGCTGCCATGTGGGTGCTGGGAATTGAACCTGGGTCCTTTGGAAGAACCGACAGTGCTCTTAACCACTGAGCCATCTCTCCAGCCCCTAAAAGATTGTTTTTATGTGTATTTATTTTCTTTTGCCTCCGTGTATGTCTGCACATCATGTACATGCAGTAACCTAAGTGGCCAGAAGAGGGCATCATACATAGCCTCTAGAACTGGAGTTCTAGTTAGCTGACATGAGGTGATGGGAGCTATACCGAGGTCCTCAGCAAGAACAGCAAGTGCTTTTACCTGCTGAATCATCTCTCCAACAATTCCTTTTTTTTTTTTTTTCTCGAAAAATGGAGTATTACATATACCTAGCTGGTCTCAATCTCCATATATAGACAAAAACAACCTTTAAGTCCTGGTCCTCGGCCTCTACCTGTAGTCTTGGGAATACAGACACGCATCACTATGCCCATCCAGTGCTGTGCCAGGAGCCTCATACTCGCTAGGTGAGCACTTCTTGCCAACTGAGTATTGAACAGGCCCTTGTATATACTAGACAAACTCTCTAACAACTTAGCTACATGCCTAACCCCACGGGGGCCCTTTTATCAACCTTATTTAAAGGTACACAGCAGTACTTCCTAAACCTTTACAGCACGACACAAGGGCAGAAGCCATGAAGGCACAGCCTTAGTGAACATGGGAACAGAACGAGCATAGCCTCAGAGAGAAGTCTTTACAAATCTATGAAAACGCCATGCCTGACTTTTAAGTTTGTATCTCTCAAGAATCATGGGAAAGGTGATGCTTCAGAGAGACGCCTCATGTTTATGCTGTGCTTCTCATCACCCCAGTTGGCGAAGATAATTTGGCTGAACTTTCAGCTGTTAAGTTCAGTTCCCCAACAAACAGATCCACGCTATACATGCATTTTTGCTCCAAAGAGATTTCAGTCGCTCTAGAGAGTAGAAAACTTAAAAAAAGCCAACCCGTCCCAAACCCGTCCTTCCGTGTCAGCAAGGGACACTGACACTGTTTTGTGCTCTCGTTGATTAAGTTAGGGGAGTGTGGGCGCCTAAAGCATCTCCGCCCTTGATGCCGTGCTCCAGCTCCCTTGCAGGTGGAAAGGAAATAGGTGCTCCGTGAGAGAAACAGGAAAAAGCGAAACATTTGATGAGCAGGTGGGGCGACGCAAGACCGTACTCGGGGTACTAATGACAGTTTCGAGGGGGACTGTGACGTAACTACATTCCACTCCACACTACCAACGCCCGAGTCGCCTACAGGGCCAGAACCGAGGTCCCAGGAGACAGGAGCCCAGGGAGGTCAGATTTGGGGCGTCCGGAGTCTAGGGCCGAGAGACCCTAGGTCACTGGCCAAAGTCACCTAGGGGCGACTGGGGAGGGCGGGGGCTGGGCGCTGAGGGGGCGGGGCTGGCTGAGACTTTACTAGGGGAGCCTAGGGCGCTGAGGGGTTCCTCCCGTGTGCCTCGGGAAAGGCTCGGACTCTGGTCACGGTCCGGCCATCGGAGAAGCTCGGCTTGGGGTCAAGGGGCCGCGACCCGGAGCGCTTTACCTTTTTCTTGGCCGCAGCCAATTTGCTCTGCCTGGTTTCTTCCGACATCCCGGGGCGGGGAGGGGGGAAGCGGGGGGGCCACATCACCACGATCCCGGCAGCCACCGCGGAACTGCTTCCGGCAGCTACACCGCCCGGGTAAGCGGCAGAGAAGGCGGGTGCAGAGCGTCACTGGGCCGCTCGGAGCCAGAGCGTGGCCTACCTTCTCCAAGCCCATTGGTTGACGAGAACGCTGAATGACAGGGAGGCGTGGCCACGCCTCCGGAGGCGGGAGCGCTGGGTGGAGTTAACGACGAGAGCTGCGCGCGCAGCCACGACCCTTCGCCTCCACCTATCGGAGGGAGGGGCGGAACCGCTCTCGCTTGGTGCGCGCGCAGCTCGACGGGAGCGGTCGTTGGCCTCCGCCGTAGATTTCTCGTTGCTGAGGCAGCCGTTTAACCCCAACCCTGGACCCTTCCGATGATCGCCCGTCGCCCCTCCGGGTACCTCGGACCTCAGGGCTCAGGAGGTGGGCGAGGAACGCTTCTTTTCACAGCTCTTTTCCTCGCGCCTCGTCCCTGACTTCCTCTCACCAGGCCCCTCGTAACCCGTTCTCCGCACAGCTCCCTTCCCACCTTGTGAACCCCGACCTCAAAGACCCCTACCCCAACCCGGTAGGTCAGGTAATGCCCTGGCAGCAGGATCCCGGCCCAGCGTCCTCTTCTGCGGCCCCCGCGTTCCCTCGGGGGCCCCGCCCTCATCAGCCCTTTCCCCGGGTTCCTCCCCAGGTCTGAGGCAGAACTCAACCGAATTTGCCATGCGGCCTTCCGATCACCGGTGAGTATGTCAGCACCACCCCTCCCTTCCTCCGCATCCCAACGCCCGCCCACCCATCTCCTCCCTTTTCAGGAGCCTCCCGCCTCCCTTTCCTAATCCCACCCCTTCCTCTTCCTCAGAAATGGGGCCCTGCCTTCCCACTCCTGCCTGCCCGATGCCCACTCTTCTCCAGCCGCCTCCTGCTCACAGCGTTGTTCCCCTCATCCAGCCTACCTTCAGTCCTGCATGGCTTCCCAGTCAAAAATATCTCTCCTTATGCTGGCCACTTTCTAAGCTACCAATAGTACTGTCTCCTTTTTTCTGGTCACCCTCCAAACTCACCATCCTTCATTTCTCATACCCAAAGATGGATTTTTAAAGTACTCCTCGATGAAATCTTGATTCAATCCTTTTTAGTAATTTCCTTTTGTTTATGCACCCCCCTCCCCCTTTTTGAGACACTTGTTAATCCCAAAAATGGGAGGAGAAGGACGGACCACCGACCCAAATCGTCATTGCCAAATCAGTTAAAGCAAACAATTAAAGCAAGCTTTTTTTATTCCTGTTTACAGACTGCCTCCTCCTAAGGTGGGGCTCGGGAAGTCATTGTCAGATGTGAGGAAGACAAGGCTTTTAGCGTTCCAGTAGGGGTTGACAAATGGGGCATTTAGTAAACAAAATAGGTGGGGTACAGGAGCAGGACATAAGCATACCCATCAGTCCTCAGGACATCCTGAAACAAGACAGGGTTGCAGGGTGGGCAGAACAGTCACTCTGGTGGTCCTTTGAAACAAAGGTAGGGTTGCAAGATGGTTATAAACAACTTTTTGAAACAGACATGATCGCCATTCCTGGCCATTCCTGGAACAGGCAGTACAGAACCATTTGTAGTTAAGGTTACAGAGAAATTGTCCCCACAAAAAAACAAAAAAAAAAATTGATTTTAGAATCAGAGATCCCAGCACAACATTTGCTGCAAATCTTGCCAAGATAAAGACAGTATTCTTTTTTTTTTTTTTTAATTATTTGGTTTTTTTGAGACAGGGTTTCTCTGTGTAGCCATGGCTGTCCTGAAACTCACTCTGTAGACCATGCTATCCTTGAACTCACAGAAACCTGCCTCTGCCTCCCAAGTGGTAGGATTAAAGGCACATGCCACCACAGCCCAACTTGTTTTTTTGAGTCAGGTTCTTTATATGTGTCCCTGGCTGCAGATCAGGCTGGCCTTGAACTCACAGAGCTCTGTCTGCCTCAGCCTCCCAAAACAGATTAAAGGCCTACACCATCAACCCGGCTTTTTCTTTTCTTTATTTTATTATTTTGTTAATTTAAGATGACATTTAAAAAATGTGTTTAGTGTGTGTTTGTGGGCAATGGAATGTTAGTACATTTGGAAGTCAACAGCTTTCGAGACTTAGCTCTTTGTTTTTTGAGACAGGGTTTCACTGTGTAGCCTTTGCTGTCCTGGATTTGCTTTGCAGACCTATGTGAGTTCTAGAGCTCTTCTACAGTGTGAGTCTAGGGATTCAACTAGAGTCTTCAGGCTTGTCACCAAGCACTTTTACCAGCTGAATTCCAGTATTTCTTTTAAGGAGAAATATTTCTGTATAGGAATGTTAAGGTAGCAATACACAAGACTTAATTCCAGACCTTGGGCAGGGCCTCACTTCTCATCCAGAAGTTTTCTAGGAATCTCATTAGACTATTAACTTTGTTTACAGTAAAAATGATACCCTAATTTTTTGCATCCTTGTGATCTAGGGTTCTAATTATTGTAAACCTGTCAGGCAGGTGTCAGGAACTATAGAACATTTGTAATCACTTTAGAATTCTTTAGCAGACCTTTGAGTAATTTCAGAAGTCGCCTATATGTGACTGTTGTTTAGACATGAAATGTGGTCATGAGTAATGGCACCTGCCTTTAATACCAGGTGCTCTTGGGAGGCTGGACAGGTGCAGATGAAATTCAGTGAGTTTGAAACCAGCCTGGTCTAGTGAATTCCAAGACAGCCAAGGCTACCTTAAAAATAAAAATTACATATTTACAAATTCAAGTCTTCTTTGGAAGTTCATACTTGCTTGACTTTCTCATTCTTTGGGTGTCTTTTATTAACTTTTTTGTTTTGTTTTTTCTCAAGACAGGGTTTCTCTGTGTATCTCTGGCTATCCTTGAACTCACAGAGATCTACCTGCCTCTGCCTCCTGAGCACTGGTATTAAAGGCATGTGCCAGCACTCCCAGCTGGCTAACTTCTTAAATCTGTTAAGAATAAATTTGAATAAACCCCAACCTTTCTTCATGTCTTTGACAGAGCCAAAGATTGAGCTTGACCTGAGTTGCAGTGCCTGAGAAGAATTCCTCAGGCTAGCGTGCTTTATTAGAGTTGCTGGCCCAGCTAATACTTACTCGCCCTTTGAAGTTTAGCTTCTCCCAGAAGTCTTTCCCCCTACTTCTGGCTCTAGCAATTCTAGACGCTTCATTAGAACATTGCTTTCCAAAGTTTTTATTACAGTTATGATCAGCTGTTGGATCTTTCACTTGATTAATGCTGTCTGCTGGTGCCCAACTACTCTTGTAGGTACACTGGTATCAGAAGCAGACAAACACAAAGTCCTTGTCTCCTTGAAATTTACCAAGATGACAGTGGTGTAAACATAAAAATAAAATGTACTTGGGGCCAGCCTGGTCTTCAAAGTGAGTCCAGCCAAGGCTACACAGAAATTTCCCTGTCTTGAAAACAAACAAACAAACAAACAAACAAAAAAAACCCACAAAACTTGTCAGGTGATGAGAAATGAGGTAAAACATCAGGATAGATTAGAAAGATAGCTCTGTGGGTAAAGTGCTTACCATGAAATGACCCATATAAACTTACTAGAGCCCGTGTGAAAATTGGATGCAGAAACATGCATTTAATCCCAGTATTGAGGTAGAGACAGCAACAACCCCAGAGCTTGCTGGCCAGCTATCTAGCAGAATCAGTGAACTCTTAAATTCAGAGAGACCCTGTCTCAGAAAAAAAGAATGTGTCCAGTGTGGACATGGAGAGATGCCCCACTGGTTAAGACTATACTACTCTTGCAGAGGGCCTGAGTTCAGGTTCCATCACCCATATCAGGTGGCTCACAAACTGTTGGAACTCCAGCTGCATGCGATACAATGCCTTTGGCTTCCACAAGCGCCTGCATGTGCACATACCCCTACAAACACATAACTTAAAAATATTTAATAATAATAATAAAGGGTTTTAATTGTATATAAGTGTTTTGCTTACATGTGTCTGTGCACCATGTGGGTGCTTGATGCCTAGAGGTCTGACCCCCTGGCACTGGAGTTAGTTGTAGATAGTTGTAAACCGCATGTGGTTACTAGGAAACAAACCCAGAGAATCTGCAAGAGCTCCAAGTGCTCTTAACCCCTGAACTAGCCCCTTAAAGACAATTATAAAATTACACTTATTTCTACTAGGTATGGTGGCACATGCCTCTGATCCTCGTATTCTAGGCAGAGACAGATGTATCTTTGAGTTGGAAGCTAGCCGGTTCTATGTACTGAGTAACAGGCCAGCCAGAGCTACATAGACCTTGGGTCCATTTCCCCCTTTTTTTGAAGACTAAAAGTAAAATTGCATGTTATTTGGGACAAGAGGCACTATAACCGCAGTTCTCAACCTTGGGATGGCGTATCAGTGATCCCCCATATCAGATACATTATGATTCATACCAGTATCAAACTTAGCGTTATTAAGTGGCAATGAAATATGGTTGTGGTCACTACAACATGAAGAACTGTATTTCAGGATTGTAGCATTAGGAAGGGTGAGAACCATTGTACTGTGGTAGGCATGTGGAAGTCCGAGGACAACTTGAAGGAGTCATTTCTTCACTCCCGAGTTGTCTCTGAGTCAGTTTTGGCAGTAAACACCTTTACCTGCTGAGCCATCTCCTCGGCCCTTTTGAAACATTTTTAATGTATTGTGTGTGTATGTGTTTAGGTCAAAGGACAAGCTTTGTAAACTTTATTTGTGGATTTCACATCATGCACCCCCAAACCACTTATCTCCCTGTCCCTTCGTACTTTCCCTCCATTCTTGCAACCTCCTCAAAAGAAAATCTCATGGAAGGTATCATAGTGTATCACACTGTGTCCCACAATACAGTTTTTTGTCCTCACTTTGCTTGCAAATGTTCATTGTCTCGTTTGAGGCTATCTGCTATCAATACTAGAACCTCATGGGAACTCCTTTCAGATATCCTATTGTTGCCCTGAGTCATGGAGATCCTGTAGCTTTGGCTTTGTAGGACTG